CAAGAGAAGTCTGAGCTTTGTCAATTGCTGTAAATGTTTTTACATACAGCCCAAGATCCTTAATGAAGGATTCACCAAAAAGTAAGCCTTTAGCAGCTGGCCCCGGCTCATTGTTCGCCATACTGACCGGTTTGGGCTCTATTTTCAGGAGAATCGCCTTGCAGCGTTTGGTTGCCATGGGCATATTGGCGTTACCCACCATGCAAACTAACCTCTGCAACCAGCCTTCGCTACTTCGAAATTGAAGTCACTCTCACTCGATTGGGCAGATTCCACTAACTCATATAGCTTAGAGATGGGCCCCATTTTGCCCAACCAGGGGCTCTATTGCGCGGTGGTATAACTTCAGTATAACCAGTGGCTGGAGAGCATTGGGTGTTGGGAAAACATAAAAAAATGGTTTAACAGAATACATAGACTCGTTACACCAAAACCACTAAAATGGCCTGCAGTGGTTTTAGTGTTCAGTGGTCCCCTTTAAAGTTAGACAATGCCTTGCAAATAAATGGGATGTTTGGTCGGCGAATATATTGGGCAATTTTTACATGAAGACAGTACAATTGTATTCATAATTAGTAGAATATATCCCACTGAATTTGAAACAACACTGATTAATATAATATACACTAACCAGAGTTTTTTTTCTTTTCTTTTTTTTTAGCATTTATGTTGTATTGAGTTTTAATGCTTATAACCTGTTTTTTTTTCCCCTTCATAGGGCTTTTTTTTATTACTTCTATTTCCACAAAAAATATTATATTAAAAAACTCCAAAACAAATAAAGCCATGATGAAAGTATGCTATTAATTGTGTAACTATGTACTATGACCAGCAAGCATTCCATGAAAAGTGCAAACCACACAGGATCACAGAAATAAACCACCAGTTAACTTTACAGATGGGGACATGTATGTGTATTTACTGAAATGGGAATTACCTCAGAATTAGTAACGTTGTTTTGGCAACCGGTTCAATGCAGTTTCTAACAGTTCTCAGAATCTCTATTGTTTTGCATGGGTTACAGCCATTAGGACACAGTGAAGATAGCTTATCTGCCTTTTTTTACCTTTGTACAAGAGGGAATGATCCATAGTCACTTCCTTACAGCTATATAAGTGGATACTTTTTATGTAGTGGCACATGACACTCCACTTGCATACATATACTTGAATCAGCTTGCAAAACCTGCAGTTCTATTGTCTGCTGCCTTTGCAGGCTCTCCTTCTAAGCCCACCCATACTTTCTGTGGCTGTCTAATCACAGACTTCCCAATGCTCAATGGGAAGTCTTTGTAAGGCAGGTGCTCTGGGCAATTTCTGCCTCTTGGGGTCAGCCTCATTGAGCTAACAAAACCAGGAAGTAAGATTACTTGTTGCCTGCTTATAAGACAAGGGGGGTGTAATCAGGTTAATTCATAAAAGTGTAAATTTATATCGAAATCTGCACTTTTTGCCCATAAGACTTTTTTTTTTTTTACAGCCACAGATTATTTTTTGGTCTTTCACATGATTGTAAGGGAAAAATTCAGGATGTGGCTAGAACCTCCTCATGTCTCCAAGTGAGGTCTCACCAGTGTTCTGTACAATAGCATGAGCACTTTTTCACCTTTCTACTGCTAATACCTCTCCCTACACAACCAAGCATTCTGCTAGCATTTCCTGCTGCTCTATTACATTGTCTGCCTACCTTTAAGTCATCAGAAATAATCACCCCTAAATCCCTTTCCTCAGATGTTGAGGTTAGGACTCTATCAAATATGCTGTACTCTGCCCTTGGGTTTTTACATCCAAGATGCATTATCTTGTACTTATCCACATTAAATGTCAGTTGCCACAACTCTGACCATTTTTCTAGATTACCTAAATCATTTCCCATTTGGCTTATCCCTCCTGGAACATCAACCCTGTTACATATCTTAGTATCATCAGCAAAAAGACATACCTTACCATCAAGACCTTCTGCAATATCACTAATAAAAATATTAAAGAGAATGGGTCCAAGTACAGATCCCTGAGGTACCCCACTGGTGACAAGCCCAAGATTCTAATATACTACATTGACTACAACCCTCTTTTGACTGTCACTCGGCCACTGCCTTACCCATTCAACAAAATTGTAATCCAAACTTAAAGATTGCAATTTATTGATAAGCCTTCTATGTGCAACAGTGTTAAAAGCCTTACTGAAATCTAGGTAAGCAATGTCTACTGCACCACCCTGATCTATAATTTTAGTTAACCAATCAAAAAAATCAATAAGATTAGTTTGGCATGATCTCCTTGAAGTAAACCCATGTTGTCTCTAAACTTGAAATCCATGTGTTTTTAGATGTTCAACAATCCTATCCTTTAACATGGTTTCCATTACTTTCCCCACTACTGAAGTAAGTCTTACTGACCTATAGTTGCCCGACTCCTCCCTACTACCTTTCTTGTGAATGGGCACAACATTCGCTAACTTCCAATCTTCTGGGACTACTCCTGTTAACAATGATTGGTTAAATAAATCTGTTAATGGTCTCATAGGCGTGCGCAGCCTATTGCATTAGGGTGTGCACCCTAAAGCACAAACACACGCCGCATGTATATGTGTGTGTGTATATATATATATATACATATATATATATATACACACACACACACATACATACACTGCTGTGTGTGCTGTTAGTGTGCTGTGTGAGGGTGCTGTGTGTGCTGTTAGTGTGATGTGTGTGTGAGGGTGCTGTTAGTGTGATGTGTGGGTGAGGATTTGTGTGTGTGTATTTGTGACGGTGCTGTTTGTGTGTGAGGGTGTTTGTGTGTGTGTGTTTGTCCTGTGAGGGTGCTGTGTGTGTGAGGGTGCTGTTTGTGTGAGTGTCGTGTATTTGTGAGTGTGCTGTTTGTGTGTGTGTGTTTGTGAGGGTGCTGTTAGTGTGCTGTGTGTGAGGGTGTTGTGTTTGTTTTTTTAAAGGTGCTGTGTGTGTTTGTGAGGGTGCGGTTAGTGTACTGTGTGTGTGAGCGTGCTGTGTGTGAGCTGTATGTGTGTAGGTGCTGTGGGTGCTGTATGTGTGTGTGTGCTGTATGTTTGGAGGGATTGTGGAGGTGGGGGCAGATTAGTAAATATCCCCCCTCCCTTCTGACCTTATGTAGGGAGGGGATCCTTGCTGCCATGTGCCATCACTGGTGGTCCAGTGGAGAGTGAACTCTCGCGAGATCTGAGCGTTGCCGTGGCAATGCTCAGATATCACGAGAGGAACTTGGCGGAGCTGCTGTCTAGAGCTCCCTGGGTCCACTACTGCCTCCCTCCATGCTGCTGTGGGCCAGTGAGGTAGATCTTTGGTCTCCCAGCCGGCCCATGGAGGCTTAGAGCACTTGTGTGTATATATATATATATATATAAAGATATATATATATATGCGTACACACACATTCACAGACACACACACACACATACACTCACAGACACACACTTGTGACAAAGTGCCCTTCGCCATTTCAACACTCATACATTCACAGACACACATACACTCACAGACACACACATACATTCACAGACACACATACACTGACACACAGACACACACACATTCACAGACACACACACATTCACAGACACACACACACACATTCACAGACACACATACAGACACACACACACATACAGAGAAACACACACACATACACATATACAGATACACACACACATTCACAGACACACACACACATTCACAGACACACACACACATACAGAGACACACACACACATTCACAGACACACACACACATACAGACACACACACACACATTCACAGACACACATACACACACATTCACAGACACACACACATACAAATTATTATTTTTTAATAAAAAAATGTCCACCCAGCCTCCCTACCTGGAGTGCTGGCGTGGACTTGTCCCTGGGGTCCAGTGGGGCGGGCGCCTCTCTACATCTCAGCCGCGGCGAGGGAGCTGTGTGCTCTCTGCTTCCTCTCGCCGCGCGGGCTGTCTACAGTAGCTGGGAGCTGGAATTTGACATCATATTCTGGCTCCCGGCATCAGCAAACGGCGCGCGGTGAGAGGGAGCAAAGAGCACACAGCTCCCTCGCTGCGGCTGAGATGGAGGGGGGGGGATCCATCACCCCTTGCCCCCCCCATGACAGGGGCAACACGGGGGGACAAAGGCGGGAATTTGGGGGCGCTGAGTGCCTGCAGGAACAGCGTTCCTGCTCAAAAAAAAGTGCAGGAACGCTGTTCCTGCAGGACTCCACTCAATCCATAAGCGTGCCGCGGGGATTAGGGTGTGCCCACCCCGTGCGCACGCCTATGAATGGTTTTGCTAGTACACCACTAAGCTCTTTTAATAACTTTGGGTGTATTCCATCAGGTCCCATTGACTTATTTGTCTTTACTTTTGACAGTTTAAATAGAACCTCTTCTTCTGTAAACTCACATGAAACAAATTACTCATTTGTCCTTTTTCCTAACAAAGGCCCCTTTCCTTCATTTTAATCTGTAAATACTGAACAAAAATATTAATTGAGGCAGTCAGCTAGACCTTTATCCTCTTCTACATACCTTCCTTCTTTTGTTTTTAATCTAACTAATCCTTGTTTTACTTTTCTTTTCTCATTTATGTATCTAAAAAATGTTTTATCCCCTTTTTTACTGACTGTGCTATTTTCTCTTCTGTGTGTGATTTGGAAGCTCTTATAACTTGCTTAGCCTCTTTCTGCCTAATCTTATAGATCATTTTGTCTTCCTCACTCTGGGTTTTTTTATAATTCCTAAATGCTAACTTTTTGTTTTTAACTATTTTGGCCACATCTGCGGAGTACCACAGTGGTTTCTTGATTTTTTTGCTTTTACTGACAAGCCTATTGCAATTTTCTGTTGCCTTCAGCAGTGCAACTTTTAAATAATTTATAGATCTTGTTCTTTATATATCAATTAACAAGAGACATGGCTGAATATAACATAGGACAGACTAATTTCATACATTATAAAGTGCTTATTCATGGGCATTTAATCAGTTATTATGTACTAATTAAATCATCTTTTTCTGAAATAAACAATTTAATGCCAGCTGTATATTCTAGAACGGTCTTTCAGTGATGTAGGTCTTTACATTTCCTCAGAATAACAGCAATATATTGAAATGTGTCAGTGTCTTTAAATAATGTGACCCACACAATATGCCCTGTTGGCAGCCTAACACAGGGTGTTTGCGTGCATTTTTGTGTTCCATGACTCTGCACTTGAACAACAGATGGTGTTAGGATTATTTGTCTGTCATAAACTACACATATTTTCAGAAAATTGGTTTGTCATAAAAGTCCCAAAAATTATCATCTTCATTGGGTTGTGTCATAGGAACAGACACTATTTGTGGCTTTTTTGTCTTAGTTTGACTTTTCCTCTTGTTAGCTTTTGGTGGTGGTGATTGAACTGGAGGTTCTTTGGGTAACATTGGTCTCGTGGACATTCGGACAGGCGTGGGAGGCCTGAAGATACTCTCCAATTTTTTGGTGATGGCAGTTCTTTCCAATAGCATTTGAGTCCAGATTGCTTTACAAAACAATACAAACAGCGCTCAGTGGCATATAGAGTTATAGAATATTAATATATATCAAAAAATACTATAGTAGGATTGTTATAATTTCCTATGGAATATTTACATAATTATTCTGTTATTCTCTATAGACAATTTAATGCGTCATATTTGAAAAAGGGTACATGTATTGCATGTAGGTATTTTACAAAATAGTTGCAAATTTAAATAAAGCAATTAAGTAGATAAAGTGCAACATGATATGGACATTTCTTTAGAGACCTGTGTGGGATTACTGTAAGAAGATTGTCTCTCAGGTAGAAGGCACACGTTGCCAAAGTACCTGTGTGCAATTGTTTTGTTGTGCCTTTTTTGGGAATGTGATTTTATATGTTTCTATGAATTCTATGAATGTTTCTAAGAATTATATATACCATTGGATATACTACACTAGTATATCGCCTGCCTTCTTATTTTTCTGATGCCATATAAAACATTTGCCAAAATCTTGGAGTATGGAAATTAATAATGCACTTTATCTACTTAAAGGAACACTACAGTCACCAAAACAACTTTAGCTTAATGAAGCAGTTTTGGTGTATAGTTCTTGCCCCTGCAGTCTCACTGTTCAATTCTCTGCCATTTAGGAGTTATATCATTTTGTTTATACAGCCCTAGTCACACCTCCCTGCATGTGACTTACACAACCTTCCTAAACGCTTCCTGTAAGAGTCATCTAAAGTTTACACTACCTTTATAGCAAATGCAGTTTAATTTAGAAGTAAAGTTGAAAATGAATTCATTTTATTTTCATGCAGGCTGTCAGTCACAGTAAGGGGAGGTGTGGCTAGGAGCTGCATAAACAGAAACAAAAGTGATTTCATTCCTAAATGGCAGTGAATTGAACAGTGAAACTTCAGAGGAATACTCTCTTTACACAAACTGCTTCATTAAACTAAAGTTGTTTTTGTGACTATAGTGTTCATTTAATTGTTTTTGTTAAAATTTGCACCTGAGACGTTATACATTTTTGGATTTGCACTTTTTATTTATATTCTTACATACTAGGTCAGTTGAATACGTCATTGATATTTGTAAGTATTTTACTACGTGCCTGTTTTATTTTTCACTCTTTTGACCTAATAGAAGTGACCCCTTTGTGTCAAATCATTACGGAAATGTATGTTTTTGTGAGTCTTGTATGGAAAGAGCTTGCAGAACATGAGAATAAAGAACTCAGAATCTGAGGAATTAATCATTTTATTGAGGTTAAGATCTTGGGGTGCCTTTCTTGTCTAATGCCTTCCTAAGATTTATGTACATAAAGTTTCTTTCATGCCACCTGCCTGGAAAGAACAAACAATATATTGGTCAAACTACGCAAGTTTTAGTATTTAGGGCTTAGATATTAAATGTCCATTGTTGCATTAATGCCATCCTTTAATAAAATACTATGAGGGTTATTCACTAAAGTGAGAATTATCGGAAATTCAAAGTGAATTTCAAATTTCAGGCCAAACTAGCTGAATAACTCGAAACAATCCCCACATCAGCTATTCTTCAATTTTTGCAAATATTTCCTAAATCTGACATTCACTTTGAATTTCTGGCAGTTCTCACCTTGGTAAATAACCCTGCTGTTTATTTTTAACAACCCAAATGTAATGTCCAAAACTACTAGGTCAATTCTTTGCAAATACATGCACCGCCCTCACAAAAACATCAAAATGAATACATTTGCAGAAATGAGGATTAAACTGATCTGTAAATTAATCTACATATAACACTATTAGTGCAAAGGGGACCAGGCATACTTGTTGGCGCATACCGGAAAGGATTCTTTTAAAAGGGTTGCCAATAAAGTCACCAGGATAACTACAGCTCAATGTAGTTGTTTTGGTGATTAAAGTATGTCCCTGCAGGCATTTTCATGTAAACACTGCCTTTTCAGAGAAAATGCAGTGTAATCATTACTGCCTAGGGAGACCTCCAGTGGCAGTCCCTCAGACGGCTACTAGAGGTGCTTCCTGGGTCACTGATGCACAACGTGCAGCACTGCCGTTCAGCATCTCCACACTCTACATGGACACACTGAACATTTTCCCTAGACATGCATTGATATATTGCATCTCTATGAGGAGATGCTGACTGGCCAGTGCTGCATTTTGCCAGGCATGTGCAATAGCCTCCAAAGCATCACATTGACTGAGATTGTCAATTCTTATAATCTCAGCCAGGGAGGCGGAGCAGGAAAAAAGGTAAAACACGATGCTGGAAAAAGGTACATTTTAACCCTATTTGAATGAGGCAAGGGGGAAACGGACACTATTGACAGCTTTGTATTCCTGACCCTATAGTGTTGCTTTAACTGCACTAATACTGATGGGGGACACTGCATTAAGAGGGGGAATACATATATAAAGGACAGTAGATTGAAGACCCCTTGATCCATAAACCCCTTACTTATCACAGATTGCTGGAAGGGAGATGAGAGAGTGTGGGAATTTACTCCCGGCAGATAAAATAAATGAAAAGAACGGTGTTAAGTCTGACATCTTACTTCTGGACACATCCATATGTTCACTACTCTAGTTTGTATCACTATGACAGTAGCCAAACGTGCAAAGGAATAGTAATTTGTAAATAACCAATCACATTTTTATCCTAGTTGGCTACTTTACCTACATATTGCTACAGGGGTGCACACTCAGTGCTTAGTACATTTTATTTCAATTACAGTGAAAACAGGGATGTATTTACCACAAGGCAAACAAGGCATTTGCCTAGGGCGGCACTTTCAGGGGGACACCAAAAAATGCCACCCCAAGCTCCCAGACAAATGCCTTGTTTGCCTCCTGTTCTGGGGCTGTCCCCCTTATTGTGAGTGAGTGAGTGAGTGTAGCTGTCAGTGTGTGTCTGTGAGTGAGTGAAAGTGTGCGTGTCTTTCAGTGAGAATGGGTGTGCCTGTGAGTGTGTGTATGTCAGTGTGTGTATGTCATTTTATGTGTATCTGAGAGTGTGTGCCTGTCACTGAGTGGGTGTGTCAGTGTGTGTCTGTCAGTGAAAGTGTGTGTTGGTTAAACAGTGTGTGCCAAGACTGTACATGTGTGCCAATGACTGTATATCTGTCAGTGAGTGTATATCAGTGCATGTATCAATGAGGTCATGTGTCTGTCAGTCAAAAAAGTGGCCTTGACACAAATTGGGGGGGCAAATTTAGATTTTGTGGGTGCCCGAATTTAGTTGTGCCTAGGGCAGCACAAATCCAAAATACACCACTGAGTGAAAACGGTTAACTGAAACCGGTATTGAAAATGTCACCAATATTTCTGAGATGAAAAACCAATGTTTGCTGACTATTATATTTTGTCTGTCATGGTAGAAAATTTATAATCAAGAAGTGAGCTCACAGTTTAGTAAACATACTGCTAAACAGCTGAAGGAAGAATTTTAAGCCACACTTCAGAGGATTGCAGTTCCACTTCCACTTCATACATGTTTTTCTCTTTCCAAAAGGACGGTTAAAAGGAGGATCAACAAGTACCTAGATCATCAGTCTTCCTCCCATGCCAGTGATGCAAAGTGTCCCTTTTCACTTTCCCTTTCTCATTAACTTCTGTAGTGTAGGAATCTTGTACCAAGGAATGGCATTGGATGGGGGCACCTGTTTTAGATAAGGAAACAGTAAGACTATGAAAACAAAGACACGAAGTTAGTACTCCTCTATTACATATATAAGGTAATGGGGCAAGCAGGGATCAAACCGACACAGTAAGAACAAAAATTTGCCAAAATGTTTCCTTAGGCTGATGGCTATTCTGCTGTCACACACTGCTTACTCTGCCACTGTATGCACTTCCCATTTCTGTGTTCTGCTTGTACTTTATTCCCTGGTTCCAGTATACCTAGCTGTGTGTCAAAATGGTGCTCACTTGATCCTTGTTCTACGAAAACCTTATACAGATTTCATAAGGTCCATCTGTCAGGATCTGAGTGGAACCTAAACGTGCAGATTATATCATAAATAAATAGACAAGCCGTATAAAGGTCCTTAGAGTGGCCGGACTAACGGTAGTCAGAGAGAATGCCGAGGTCAAGGACAGGAGATATATGGATGAATGACATAACAAGCCAAGTCAAAGGATACCAGAGATCAAGAGAAACAAGTAAACGGACAAATCAGAAACTGGGAACATGAAATAAATGAACGCACTCTAGCAGTCCTGTATTTAGTGTAAGGCTGACAAGGCATTTTCCCTGGTCGGCACTTTCAAGGGGCACCTCAGGCCCCCCAGAGGCTGGCATCTACCTGATGTGGGAGGTGGGCGGTGAGGGAGCACTCTCCCCTGAGCTCTTAATGCTCAGCTTCCTCGCGCGCACTGCAGTGATGCCAGAGCTGGAATATGACATCACTCCGGCATCACTAAGAGGCGCGCAAAGGAGCTAAGCAGGAGGATCAGAGCACCCTCACCACCTAAATTGATGGCACGTCTGTCCGTCCAACAGTTAAAGGATCCCCACCAGCACTCCAGCAAAGGTAGGAGGCTGGGTGGATTGAAATAAAAAATCAATTGTTAGTGTGTGTTTATTGCTGAAAGTGTTAGTGTGTGTGTCTCCCACTCTGACTCCCTGTTCTTCCTCACGCGCGGTCTGTGTGTGTTAGCTGGGAGGAGTGTGACGTGTAGTCACTTCCTCCCAGCAGTGATGATCTCATCACAGGGGGCCCGGTCAGAGCTGCACACGCTGTTAAAGCGCCCAGCGCTGACCGGGCCCCCTGACAATCCATCTCCATCGGATGGCCCTGACAGTATGGGCCACCCGATGGACCCTTTGGACAGTGGCCCTGGTGGTTTGCCTCGCAAGCCAGGGCCGCAAATGATGATGGCGGGCACCGGTCGCAGGGGCCTGCAGGGCGGCCAGGTCCTCTGGAGTGACAGGCCCGGTCGCAGCTGCGACCCCTGCGACCGTGGTATGTACGCCAGTGCATTTACCTAGGTAAAACAAAATCAGGAATACAGCTATTTTTACAGCGTTGATATTTTGACCAACATTTTGCAATTCCCTTGTCTATTATACACAATTTCCAGTCTAGGGAATAGCCTATTAATAATAAAGCTTATTGGACTGAAAGAGAGAATTCAAGATGATTTTTCCATCAGACCTGGAAATAGGTTAGCACGGAGGCTATGTCCCAGCTCATAATATACGATGTTGTCCATCAGCCATGAATTCAAGCTTGGTTTTGGAATGTGATATCCATTTGAGTGTGATTTATTTTCATCTGCTTCAGTCAGTGCTTGCTTTACCTAGATTTAAGAATGGAACGACAGTAAGTCAACAGTCCATCTGTCTTCCTCAGCGTTCATTCCACCCACCTCACCTGCTCTGGGGAGATCAGTTGGTCCACCAAAGAAGTTCCATACTTGTGCCTAATGTTAGCTGGTACCAAACTATCTTGCTTTTTCATTGTGCTTTCTGATGATCTAGATATTGTTTTTTCCTTTAATGGGATGCTTGTAGAACTCGCTCTTCTATTACATGGATACACACTGTCTAGGTCTACTTGGCGTTTTTTTATTTTTTCCACATTGGCAGGCCCTTCAAGACAGATTTGTGATGTTTTTGGAGTAGAAATAGAACTGCCATGGAAGTATCTGGATTTTGAATTTATTGTGTTGGTTGGCAAACACTTATTAGGCCTTTTTCCTGCAGTGGGAGAGGACATAAAAAAGTAAATATTAGAGTTAAATCATGCAGTCATTATGATTCGCTAGCAATCAACCAATATAGTACTGTCTGAGAAACTCTAGAATTCAGTAGAGTAGATGCCTGTAATAACAGAGGAAGTAAGGGTAAAGACTTGGGCATTTATTTTTGGGAAGAATCGCAATTCGGACAAAATTTGTCTAGTTTGTCCATTTCTCCTAATTTTGAATGGCACAATGGAAGAATGAACTCTTTGTTCGATCCATTCATCAGTTCATAAATTAAAAAAATTCGTACCCTTTTTTTGGGATTACCAATCCATATTCAATTGTACCACTACCAAATTAGGAAGCTGTTGTGCTTAGTCCATACAAAATAAGGAAGCTATCTACTTAACAGGTCTATAAAATGGAAACCTTAAATATGACAAGCCCAAATAAGGGTACCAAATTTATTTAGAAAATTATATATTAAACAGTTCAAAGATCAAAATGAACAAAAACCTTTTCTTAATTTTGGTTGTTAAGCTGTTTGTAGATAGCTCCCTAGTTTGGTATCCTTATAGATATCAAAATAGGGAGCTATCCACTAAACAAAGCTCCATCCCTAATATTGGGTAAGAATTACAATGGAGGTAGGCAGAAAACACACTTACCTCTTCAGCGCATATTTCAAGGAAGCTCTGGTCTCTTATTAACGCATGCTGTGACAAACTCCCTTTTTCCTGGGAGTTTGCCAGTCTCCTACCCTGTTACTATGGCCCATGTATTAGACCTTTTCCCTTCTATGATTCAGTATATGGGGCTTACCGAATGGATTATGTTTATACCGAACACACAACCGAACAGTCGGACCACCCACATGTGGAGTGTGAAGCCGATTAACCGCCCAGACTTATGGTTAACCGCAGCTTAATGGGCGAATGGCTGGGTGGTTGCCATTCGTACGTGCGAACACGTGGCGGCCGTCATCTTGTTTTGTCGAATGTATCTAGCGGTGTTTTGTCATCGAGTGCATGGAACTATAATCGGACACTCGACGGCACAAACACCACTGGGACTTCCACATCCAGTTATGTTTGGTTGGATTCATACGAACAGAGCGTTGTTCGATAGGAATAAGCTCCCAAACCAGATAAATGGACTAAGTGCCAGACAAACGGCTATGTTTGGTAATTTGAATGGTATTTCGACAATTTGAAATAGACAGACCGCACAGCCGGATTCTCTGGAACTGTTTTGGGCATGAAACCATGTGTGCGGTCGGTCAAAAAGAGACTTCCAGGAATTTCCTGAACCCCTGCTCTGATCTGGGCGATTTTTGGATATGTTGTTCACCCAGATCAGGGCTATCAGGGGTAACATTTATGGGGATATGTTGTGTTTTGGGGTACTCATGAGACTTTGTAAAATATTTTCTGCCTGGAGATAATTGAGTTATTACAGTATCTGACTCAATTATCTCACAGGCAGAGAGGAGGGAACCCGGTCGGGGTGCCAGGTGGTCCGTAACACATGTTCAGGATTTCTTCTGTTGTTTTGTCCATGCACATGCCCCTCTAAGGCACAGCATTATTGGGGTCAGTATAATTTTTCATGTATGCCAATCTGTGCATTGACATGTTCATTTTTCATACCATACAATACTGTCAGTGACCGAGCTATGTACAAACATTTGATAAGGAAGTACTTTTCTAAAGGGAGGGGGTGTGGCTAAAGAGGCAGGTTTATGATACAGCATTCTGCAAAACATTTTTTTTTAATGCAAAAACTATACAGATTAGAGCATGCAAAGCATACAGCATAAAAATGAGGCCAAAATCCAATCAAAGGCATTAAAGTTGTATTGGTGCCAGGCGTGTCCCTTTAAGAGTTAACCCTTTTATGTTTTGTCCAAGCCCCAAAGTAATTGCTAAATAGTAATGGAAAGGACTACATCCATTTGCTAAATTCAGGACAAAATCACCAATACAGGCAAAATCTCTACCTTTTGCAACTTCCCAAATATTGCAAGAAAGTTCTCAACTCACAGCTCAGTATTTAATGAAACACCTACATACTCCAAAGCTGTTACATCAGACATGCTGTCATTAACAGTTATTACCATTTGTGTTTGAATCCCTTTATCACATTATATACACAATACTTTTGCCACAAATAGCCTCGATGGCCATTAATAGGGAACGGAGAGAGTGACTGCCACTATGCTTAGTCAACTAAAGGTTAAGTGAACGTGGAAGAGTATGCATTTTGATCGAAGACAGTGATGAGAGGTGATAGTTACGTGCAGTATTAACGAATAGGAGACAGTGATAGTAATAGTGAGTTGTGATGAAAGGAGAATTAGCGTGCAAAAGTGTATGCTATTATTGCTGAGTTGGATAAAATGTTCAATACAAGTGAGTTTAAATATATTCAAATACTGTACTGCTCTTTTGGCTTACATTCCTCAAATTTGACATTAGGAGCCAATTTTAATAGACTGTGTATAGACTTCGAAACAGGTTGTTGTAGCTTAATAAAAGTTTAAGGCACGTTATCGGGTCCCCAGTGGATCTGCATTATACTTTACTTAGTACAGTCAGATGTTACTACTAGTAAACTTTTTAGTGCAGAAAAATACCATTAATTAAAACCAGGAAAGGCAACAAATTGCTAACATTTTAAATGATCTCTCTTGGTGTTATTCTAATTTTGTTATTTTAACTATTTGTATTGATAGAGCAGCATGCTTGAGGCACCCCAATGGCACACATTCTGTATATTGTGAAACCATTTGCCCTCTGTTCAAGTCAATAGACTGGCTCACCTGAATGGGTGACATCCATGATAGATATTTAATGATATCCCAAACTCTCCCAATTCATGAAGCCTGTGATCCTTTTACTTTCATTGTGACTATTCCCATTCACTGGTTGCTAAGAAACCTATTTGTGTTACAGTTGTCATGGTGACAACTATTGGACATAGCTGTGGGAGGGTTAAGTCACCCCTAGATGGCACTAGATTATAGTAGCAATGTATTTTTAAATTATGGTAAAGGGCAAGCATGTTAACACAAATATAGTTGTGTTTCACAGGTTTACTTTGCTAAATATAGGACTAGTTCAGGGTCTTTAGACATTGCAGTGTTCCAATGACAACAAAACTAATTTTTAAAGTTGGTTTAAGATTTGTTTTTAATCAGTTTCAGACAACATGGAATTCGAATTTGCCTTAAAAAAAACAAAAACGCACAATGTATTAAGCCACTACCAATAAAGCTTTTTTAGTTTTACACATTTAAAATAAATTATACAATTTAGGACATTTTCACAGTTGCATGTGATAATTCCCCCAATAATTTAATTCTACATAAAGGGTAATATCCAGGGTTGGATTTGCCAGTTTCCCACCAAATCACCAGAGATCAGGATTCTCCCTCCCTGGCCAAAAGTAACCTCAGGTAGGGAGGAACTTTAGTTTTCTCCCAATACAGCCCTTCAGCCTATATCCCCCACTATCACCCTTATACCCCCTATAACACCCCTATGCGACACTACAGTCACCCCCCCCACACACACTATTGTCCATATTCCGCTACTATAGCCACTATCCCACACTATAGCAACAATCCATCCACTACAGCTGCTATCATCCCCACCATAGCCTCTATCATCCACTGCAGCCACTATCTCACCACTACTGCACTATTCTCCCACTAGCACATCTGTAGCCACTGTCACTATCCACTGCAGCCATTATGTTCCCACTACAGCTCCTACCCCACTAGGATTACTGGCAGGAAACATTCACAAATCATCATTCACTTGCTTTTTTGAAAGTGAATGATAATTTTAAGTACTATGTGCTCTGTAGCAGCCAGCAGGCAAATAGTTTAACCCCTTAAGGACACATGACATGTGTGACATGTCATGATTCCCTTTTATTCCAGAAGTTTGGTCCTTAAGGGGTTATAAGCCTTGACGACCTAGTGCCCTCCCACCTGGCCCTTACCCATTGGTGGGAGCCTTAATTATAATATTCAAGGGGGAACCTAGTGTTCCCGCAGCCCCCACACACTCTAGCATGAGTGGCTAGGGGTCCCCAATCACCTGGACACCCCCCATCAAAATGAATTAACCCTATCTACTGCCTCACCCTAATAATAGTGAGAGAAAACAATAACTAGTACTAATATTACAATAATGGAGGGTTTAAATCTACTGTATAGTAATATGGGGCTCTTATTGACCTCTGTAGGCTTTATTTAAAGTGGCTGTCTAGCAAGCGTTGGCCAGCTGCCACATTAGTAACCTGTGCCACAAGACCAGAGTTTTTTTGTTTAACTATTTGCTTGCTGGCTGCCAGCACTGCCAGTGTACACATTAAGACATTTTACAGTTGACTGTTATGGGTATGGTGCTTGGAGTGTTCCATGAAAAAATATTTTTGCAAATGTTATTACTTGCACTAGCTTTTTAATATCTATATATTACATCCATTAAAGTATTTCTAAATTCCAGCTTGGAGTGTTCCTTTAATGAACATATGTTTATTTTAACCCCTTAAGGACCAAATTTCTGGAATAAAAGGTAATCATGACATGTCACACATGTCATGTGTCCTTAAGGGGTTAAAAGAACTGGTATGATGTGACATCACATACAGTAGATGAGTAATATGGGTAATAATCAATATTTAAATAGTACTGAATAAAGATGATTGAAATATCTAATCTAATAAATAGCATCTCTTGTTTAAACACAGCACAGTAAAATAATATTGCTATTATAAATAGTATTAGTGTGTAAGGAATGCATTTTTGGTCATAGACACTTTTAATCCCGGATATGTTTCTTAATCAGATAAGCTTGGACAAAACGTGTTATGTGTGACATAGAAATTCTCCTCTCCCCGGCATTTTCTACAGTGGAAAGCCTCACTCTCTTATCACATCACTATAACTGACCACTGGCGCAACACCATGTTTGTTACAAATTAACTTAAACGGCTTTTCTTTGTTTTTAAAAGCAGTACCCAGCTCATCTAACCTTATGTCTCTTGTTCTGAACTAAACACATGGTGAGAGTGCAGGTAATGCTAAAGGGTTTATTTGAATTTGTATTAAAAGTTCTCTGTATTTAGAAACACAACCTTTTTCTTAACAAGACATTGAATGTACCAAAAACATTTAAGCATTTTATAAACTTTTGGTCTAAATACTGTATTGTATATTTTACATGCTGAATTTCTGAAGTAGCAGGGCTATTTACCAAAGTGAGAATTGCCGTGACTAAAAAAGGGAATTTCAAAATTAAGACTAAAATAGCTGAATTAGAAAGTATATTTCTGATTTCCGTTTGGGTATTGTGGGCTTAAATTTAAAATGAACTGTGAATTCCCAGCATTAGTCGCCTTAGTGAATAACCCTGAGACGGAACCATTACAAATAACCCTTTGGAATGGTGGAAACATGATTTCTGACTTTTTGCAAGGCTCCCTGAAAGAGCTGCTTAGTTGATGAAATGACAGTAGGGGCTCCAACATTGCCAGTTTAGTTAATCTATGCACATTGTATATAAAATAAAGTGGTGCACACAAAACCAGCAAGGTGAAAAGCAGGCTCTAACACTTAAGTGAAGGAATCCCTTAACCTTCACAACACAGAACATGCAAATAAAACAAAATATAAGTGGAGCTCTGGTTTACCTGTATAAATAGTGGTATGATACAGATGGACGAAGATACTTTAACAATAATCTGTAAATAGGTAACAATAAATCTTAGTGCAGACGATAGTTACAATGTAAGTATTGAAAGATGAATAGTAAATGGGTAACTCACAAAAAAAGAGCCAATAACACACTTGGCTCTAGTGGTAAATGCCTCTGGATCTTCTTAGGGGAGATCCACCACCCTCTTTTGATTGCCTCCTGATGTCCTCCACCTTAGATTCAGGTATGGATAGAATGGATAGAATGGCAAACTCCAAATGGTAGTGTGGACAAAATTTATTATATTAAAAAATAATCAGATAAAATAAATTCAAATTAAAAGAATTATTTCATAAAAGTACATAAAATGGTTCCAAAACGCGTTTCGCCAGTAAACTGGCTTCCTCAGTTGGTATAAAAGTCCTTGCGTCCTCTTGTTCTTTTTATATGTGCTTAATGACGAAATTACTGGCATCTGCTGAACCGGAAGATCGCTCTGTGGAACGCACACAGAGCTAGTTGGAACGCACGTGTAAACGTGCGTGCGGAAATCACGTGATGTAATTTGTTCAACTTCGTGGAACGCTTACATATGCGTTCCACCATCTTAAAACGTAAGATCCGGCTACTGTGCTTCCTCTTTCTTCGTGGAACGCATTATATGCGTTCCACTGCCAGAATACTTTTACTAATTGCAAAAGTCCCAAAACAGAATGTCCATTAATTCTCAAATGTGACAATGGGAGAAAGAAAGTACAATAGTTTCATCACAACAACATAACATAATGAGTATAAGCAGATATATTATAAACTTTATAATATGACTTTTAAAATGTGAAAAATAATATGAAAAATAATATCAAATCTCTGTAGTTGTAAAAAATGACAGATACGAAAGTGAATAAAAATTTGGGAGGGTAGAGAAAAAATCATTTAATATATGAGTAGAAAATCATTTAATTTATGAATAACTATGAAAAATAGTATCTAATCTCTGTAGTTGTAAAAAATGACAGATACAAAAGTGAATAAAAATTTTTTGGGGAGGGTAGAGTAAAAATTATTTAATGTATAAATAGAAAATCATTTAATATATGAATGACTATTAAATATTTTCTTTACTGTTACAAGGAGAAAAAAAGACTAAAATAATAGGGGAAAATAAATTATAAGAAATGACATAATTCAAAATCCAAATTTAGTCCATGAGGGACCATGGTGTTAAAATTAAAAATAAAAGTAATTTCTTCTATCCCAATTTTTTTAATAAAATCTCCACCCCTCCAATTTTTTTTGACCAATTTGAGTGCGCAAAACATAAGACCCTGTGGATTTTGATGATGGTATTGTTTAAAATGCTGTGAGACACTATGTGTGTCTACTCCTTTTTTAATGTTTCTCACATGTTCCGAAACTCTAACATGGAGGCACCTAATGGTCCTCCCTATATACATTTTATTGCACGGACAAATTAATAAATAAATAATATTTTTAGAGAAACATGTCAATTGGTCTCTAATTGTGAATTCTTTATTAATAATTTCATTCGTATTTTTAATGTGTCTCTTTTTACTTATTGTTTCCCTACATGCAAGGCACGTTCCACAACCATAAAAACCTTTGCTTTTTGTCAAGAAATTATCATTTTCATTCTGATGATTCTTTAGATTACTATTTACTAAAAAAATCTTTATATTCTTGCATCCCCTATGTACAATTTTGGGTCTCTCTGGTAATATTTCTTTTAAAATTGGGTCATCCTGTAATAAGTGCCAATACTTATTAATGGCATACCGTACTTTCTTGTTATTTGCAGAAAAATTACAAATAAAAGGAATATTACATTTGTTGTCTTCTATTCTTGTTTTTTTCTTTTTATATATTAACAGTTCTTTTCGCTCTAATCTTGTTATTTCTTCTATACCCTTTTGGAGATCTTCTTCTTTATATCCTTTTTCTAAGAATTGATTTTTAATTGTCTGAGTTTGTCTTAGAAAATCTTCATTTTTTGTACAATTTCTTTTTAACCTCATAAACTGGCTTTTGGGTGCATTCGTAAGCCACGGAGTGTGGTGACAACTAGTGAGATCTATGTATCCATTGCAATCTACCTCTTTAAAATAATTTTTTGTAAAAATGTTTCCCTCTTCTATAAAAACAGTGAGGTCTAAAAAATTAATTTCTGCTCTGCTTTGGGTGGAAGTCAAACTGATTCCCCAATCGTTGCAATTTAAAAAACTAAAAAAATTGTTCAATTCTAAATCATCTCCCTTCCAAATAAAAAATATGTCGTCAATGTAACGGCGATAGGTGACCAAGTCCGCAAAAAATTCACTATGTAAAATAAATGTTTCTTCCCAATACGCCATAAAAAGATTTGCGTAACTAGGTGCGAACTTGGTCCCCATCGCCATTCCGTTGATTTGCAAGTAAAAACTGTCTTTAAACCAGAAAAAATTGTTGGTCAAAATTAAAGACATGCCTTCTTTGATAAAATTTATCTGTTCTTGTTTAAAATTTGATTTTTCTAAAAAATATTGCACCGCCTCTATTCCCTTTATATGTGGAATATTACTATAAAGAGAACTTACATCACAAGTAACCAATATATAATTCTCTTCCCATTTAATGTCTCCTAAAATTTGCAAAATGTGTATCGTATCTTTCAAATACGTTGGATTCTTAATTACCACCGGTTGAAGTAGGACATCTATATATTCCGAGACTCTCGATGAGATACTCTCTACCCCAGAAATAATAGGTCTTCCGGTGGGTTGGTTAAATGTTTGTGCATTTTTGGCAAACAATAAAACACTGGAATCTGGGGATTTAAAATAGTTAAGTATTTAGCTTCTGCCTCTGTTAAAATATTGTTTTCCAATCCTTTATCAATATATTCTTTAAACTTAATTATAATTTCTTGACTAGGGTTAGATGTTAATTTTTTATATGTTTTTACATCCGACAAAAGCCTTTCTGCTTCCCCTACATACTTTTTTTTATAATTCTAATTCTATCTAAAAAAAAGTATGTAGGGGAAGCAGAAAGGCTTTTGTCGGATGTAAAAACATATAAAAAATTAACATCTAACCCTAGTCAAGAAATTATAAAGTTCGCACCTAGTTACGCAAATCTTTTTATGGCGTATTGGGAAAAAACATTTATTTTACATAGTGAATTTTTTGCGGACTTGGTCACCTATCACCGTTACATTGACGACATATTTTTTATTTGGAAGGGAGATGATTTAGAATTGAACAATTTTTTAAGTTTTTTAAATTGCAACGATTGGGGAATCAGTTTGACTTCCACCCAAAGCAGAGCAGAAATTAATTTTTTAGACCTCACTGTTTTTATAGAAGAGGGAAACATTTTTACAAAAAATTATTTTAAAGAGGTAGATTGCAATGGATACATAGATCTCACTAGTTGTCACCACACTCCGTGGCTTACGAATGCACCCAAAAGCCAGTTTATGAGGTTAAAAAGAAATTGTACAAAAAATGAAGATTTTCTAAGACAAACTCAGACAATTAAAAATCAATTCTTAGAAAAAGGATATAAAGAAGAAGATCTCCAAAAGGGTATAGAAGAAATAACAAGATTAGAGCGAAAAGAACTGTTAATATATAAAAAGAAAAAAACAAGAATAGAAGACAACAAATGTAATATTCCTTTTATTTGTAATTTTTCTGCAAATAACAAGAAAGTACGGTATGCCATTAATAAGTATTGGCACTTATTACAGGATGACCCAATTTTAAAAGAAATATTACCAGAGAGACCCAAAATTGTACATAGGGGATGCAAGAATATAAAGATTTTTTTAGTAAATAGTAATCTAAAGAATCATCAGAATGAAAATGATAATTTCTTGACAAAAAGCAAAGGTTTTTATGGTTGTGGAACGTGCCTTGCATGTAGGGAAACAATAAGTAAAAAGAGACACATTAAAAATACGAATGAAATTATTAATAAAGAATTCACAATTAGAGACCAATTGACATGTTTCTCTAAAAATATTATTTATTTATTAATTTGTCCGTGCAATAAAATGTATATAGGGAGGACCATTAGGTGCCTCCATGTTAGAGTTTCGGAACATGTGAGAAACATTAAAAAAGGAGTAGACACACATAGTGTCTCACAGCATTTTAAACAATACCATCATCAAAATCCACAGGGTCTTATGTTTTGCGCACTCAAATTGGTCAAAAAAAATTGGAGGGGTGGAGATTTTATTAAAAAAATTGGGATAGAAGAAATTACTTTTATTTTTAATTTTAACACCATGGTCCCTCATGGACTAAATTTGGATTTTGAATTATGTCATTTCTTATAATTTATTTTCCCCTATTATTTTAGTCTTTTTTTCTCCTTGTAACATTAAAGAAAATATTTAATAGTCATTCATATATTAAATGATTTTCTATTTATACATTAAATAATTTTTACTCTACCCTCCCAAAAAAATTTTTATTCACTTTTGTATCTGTCATTTTTTACAACTACAGAGATTAGATACTATTTTTCATAGTTATTCATAAATTAAATGATTTTCTACTCATATATTAAATGATTTTTTCTCTACCCTCCCAAATTTTTATTCACTTTCGTATCTGTCATTTTTTACAACTACAGAGATTTGATATTATTTTTCATATTATTTTTCACATTTTAAAAGTCATATTATAAAGTTTATAATATATCTGCTTATACTCATTATGTTATGTTGTTGTGATGAAACTATTGTACTTTCTTTCTCCCATTGTCACATTTGAGAATTAATGGACATTCTGTTTTGGGACTTTTGCAATTAGTAAAAGTATTCCGGCAGTGGAACGCATATAATGCGTTCCACGAAGAAAGAGGAAGCACAGTAGCCGGATCTTACGTTTTAAGATGGTGGAACGCATATGTAAGCGTTCCACGAAGTTGAACAAATTACATCACGTGATTTCCGCACGCACGTTTACACGTGCGTTCCAACTAGCTCTGTGTGCATTCCACAGAGCGATCTTCCGGTTCAGCAGATGCCAGTAATTTCGTCATTAAGCACATATAAAAAGAACAAGAGGACGCAAGGACTTTTATACCAACTGAGGAAGCCAGTTTACTGGCGAAACGCGTTTTGGAACCATTTTATGTACTTTTATGAAATAATTCTTTTAATTTGAATTTATTTTATCTGATTATTTTTTAATATAATAAATTTTGTCCACACTACCATTTGGAGTTTGCCATTCTATCCATTCTATCCATACCTGAATCTAAGGTGGAGGACATCAGGAGGCAATCAAAAGAGGGTGGTGGATCTCCCCTAAGAAGATCCAGAGGCATTTACCACTAGAGCCAAGTGTGTTATTGGCTCTTTTTTTGTGAGTTACCCATTTACTATTCATCTTTCAATACTTACATTGTAACTATCGTCTGCACTAAGATTTATTGTTACCTATTTACAGATTATTGTTAAAGTATCTTTGTCCATCTGTATCATACCACTATTTATACAGGTAAACCAGAGCTCCACTTATATTTTGTTTTATTTGCAAAATCTATGCACATTGCCTATGAATGCAGTACCCGTACTTGGTACTCTTAGGGAATCCTTAAAGCAGCTTGTCTTATTTCACTGTCTTAGCCTATGTTTAGGTGCTGGCAAAGGCACGGATAGGGACGTACTCTGTCTTTGTGCAATCTATTTCTATATACCTTTTCCCTTGTTATGGTTATTTACCGCTTCTGTTTTTTTAGTTTAAACAGTAATTCATATTGCTATGATTGTTTATTGTGGTTTGAGACCACGTTGGCTCCAGTCCAACTTTATTTACCAGTGTTTTCAGATTTAGAGCCAAGAGCCAACAAAGGCACAGGCTGTAAAATGTTCTCTACGCGTTGGGGGCTATTTTTCTTCCATTTTTTATATTCCTTCTATTTCTCTGTAACTTGCTATTCCATATACTTCCTTTCCATCTGATCTCATATGTATAAGACTGCATGTATAAGTCCCTATTTATACATATATATACATATATATATAGTAACTGTTTGTAACCTTTTTCTCAGTGACATTTTATTTAATTGTTTGGTTCAGATTTAGACAGGTAATTGGGAAGATATGGAAGCGTAGGGATTTACATGTACACCAGACATAGAATGTTAGGAAGATCACAAGTAGAATGTTAAGTGGGTCACAATTAGAGTTTGGTTCATTGGAAGCAGAAGGCACTGAAGGGGGAAATCTAATATCTCAGCCCAGCTTAATCTCTGCTCCAACACATATAGTTAGGTGGATGGGAAATGGGAATTATTGAAACTAATGGTAACAGTGGCAGCTGGTAAAATCTTAAGATACTGGGTTGCCAGACTCTTTCCCCAGAACGTTACTTCTTTTTATATAATACAGAGATACTCATACAATACAGAGAGCTGAGCATAACACTGAGAAGCTCCTACAATAAAACAAGCTGGACATAACATAAAGATATCTATAAAATATATAGAGCGGAATACAATACAGAGAAACAAATAGAGATATAATACACAGAGCTGGGCACAATACAAAAGATACCTATACACAGAACTGGGTAGGCTACGACAGGTAGAGCTGAGTAAAATACAGAGAAATAACACACAGACCTGGGCACAGGTCAAACAAAAGAAAAAACAGTAAAGGAAGTAAAATACATCCAACTCACACCAAAGTGTTAGTTACATAAAAATACAATTTATTGATTGTATAGGAGGCTCTGAAGAACCAATAATCTCTAAAGCGAAAAAAATATATAGTGCAATACCATAAGTACAAAGAAATGGGAGGTGGAGGGGATGGTTGGTAGAGATCTAACTAGAAGGAAAATCAGGCATATCTCACTTATGTAGGGTGGAGGTTAAAATATATGGTATCTATGCAGAGTGTGGGGACGCTGAATGGCAGGGCTGCTTACTGTGCAACCTTGAGCCAGGAAGCCCCTCCAGTGGCCATCTAAGGAGTGGCCACTTGGAGGTGTCCCTAGGGACATTCTCTGAAAAAGGCAGTGTTTACATGAAAATGCATGAAGGGAGCTATTATACTCATCAGAACAACTACATTAAACTGTAGTTGTTCTGGTGACTATAGTGTTCCTTTAACAAACTTGCCAATTTGATTGAACGGAGGAATAAGGTTATATGGGTCAGCAGTCAGGTTTCTTCCTGGAAAATAAGGAAGGGAGAGCATGACTGATGCCCAGGGTTGGGGGGTTGTCCCCAGGTAGATACATGGTTGCGAATGGGGAGCAGGAGATAAAAAGGGGGAAGGGAGGAAGGGCCTTACCAGTCAGCGCAGACAAGTTGAGGGATCCTGACTTTCCCGCCCTCTCTCCCAGTAGTAGGTTTGGTTGTGTTCTGTTTCTGGTGTCTTTGTGTTCTTGTTTTGTCACAGCTTGTGGTTCTTCCTAGACAGCACAGATACAAGGGATGAAAACGCCAAGGCGGTTTGGGGAGTCGCAGCCTGCCGGGAGCTGATGGCGGGAGGCAGGCTGCTCTGGACTCTTGGAGAACAGTGTAGAGCTGTCTGTTGGAGAACACCCCAACAGCTGACAGAGGAATTTGCTGGGATGATGTTTATGGTTAAATAAAGTTGTGGCCATTGCCCTTACCCAACTTATTCAGGTCTGGTGTGTTTTATTTGGGGCAATAGGGGAATAAGGATATATGTGTGGGGCAGTGTTGGGAGGGTGAGATTGTGTTAGAGAGTGCCATTGTGTGTAGGGGCAGTGTGTGGGAGTGGTGACAGTTTTTGTGTTGGTGACAGTGTGGGGGGTAGTGTTTAGGAGGGGTGACTGTATGTATCGGTGACAGTGTTGAGGGGGCAGTGTGTGGAAGGGTGACAGTGTGGAGGAAGGTGACAGTTTGGAGGGGGCAGTGTGGAAGAAGGTGACAGTGTGGAGGATGGTGACAGTGTTTGGAGGCAGGGTGTGTGACAGTGGGGGGGCAGGGTGTATGACAGTGTGGAGGACAGGATGTATGACAATGTGGGGGGGAAGGGTGTATGACAGTGTGTGGGAGGCAGGGTGTATGACAGTGTGTGGGGGCAGGGAATGTGGGGGTCACTGTGGGAGGCAGGGTATGTGGGGTTCAGCGTGGGGTGGCAGGGTATTTGAGGGACAGAGTATGCAGGGCCCGCCTTAGGCCTTTAGGCGCCCTGTGCTAAAAATCTTCACAGCGCCCCCCCCCCCGTCATCCATGTATGATGTAATGTTTGTGTTGTCTGTGTATGTGATAGTAGGTGTGATGACTGTGTGTGATATGTGATAGTTGTGCTGGGTTTATTGGCTGTGTGTGATGGTTATTTAATTCAGATAAAAACATGCATTTAGGTCTGTGTGTGAATGCAGGTGTATATTTTTGCAGAGTTATGTTGTGGACAAAAATATTAATTCAATTTTTGTTAGTAAAATGCCTATTTACTCAGCATACCTACAATCAGCATTATTCAACTTTATATGTGATTTACCTAAAATGGCCGCTAGGGAGTTTCCCTTCGACATCGACTAACACCCTCACTTACAAGATGGCGCTGGAATCTGGGGGAGACCTCCAAGATACCAGTGACATCACACCCGGTAGGAAGAGCAATAAATGAACCACTTAACTCCTAACCAATTATTGATGTATTATTTCATGTTATCTCTGACAATGCATATGATGTAATTTTGTAAGGGGCATGCCATCCCCTCAGAATAAACATTCCTCAAGTTTTTCATTAACCCGAAACCTGTGTCTGGTGTGAATTACTTTAGGAGCGTGCACGCACTACTTCTTTAATTTGGCCGGGGGCAGATACACAAGATAATCAATTGATTGATTGATTCCACATCAGTTATGTGCACACAGTCAGATGCACACAGTTATACATATACACTGTCAAATCCACCACATGCATACAGTCGCAGGAAGATAGTCACATACACAGGATCAGGCAGAAACACACAGGTACAGGCAGTAACACACATACACAGTTACAGGTAGATAAACACACTTACACACAATTACAGGCAGACAGCCACACACACACATACAGGTAGTCACACATACAGTTTTACACACACACACACAGCCACACATACAGTCTTACACACACATACTTACATGCAGGCAGCCACACACACACAGGCAGACAGCCACACACACACTGGCAGACAGCCACACACACACACACACAGCCACACACATACACACCGGCAGACAGCCACACACACACACAGAGTCAGACGGTCATACACAGGAAGACATCCACAGACACAGAGGCATGCAGTGACACAGAAAGGCAGACAGTCATACACACACACAGGCAGACAGTCATACACACACACACAGACACACACAGGCAGACACACAGACACACATAGGCAGACAGTCATATACACACACACACAGGCAGACAGTCACACACACAGACACACACACAGGCAGACAGTCATACACACAGACACACACACACAGGCAGTCATGCACACACACAGACAGTCACACACACACACACACACAGGCAGATAGTCATACATACACACACACACACACACACACAGGCAGACAGTCATACACACAGACAAACACACAGACACAGGCAGACAGACACACACACACAGGCAGTCATAGACACACAAATACAGACAGACAGTCACACACACAGACACACAGGCAGACAGTAACACTCACACTGACAATCACACAGTTACCTGTGGACTTCATTGTGGAGGCAGTGCAGCTCCTGGAGACTGTTTGGTGGGGAAGCATGGACTCCTTCCTGCTTCCCCTGCAGCAGTTATCCGGCGCTTTTAGCTCCGCCCCGTCGCAATTTATTTATTTTTTTTATTCCGGCCGGCCATGTGTGAGCTGTGTCGGCCGCAGGGCTCCCCCTGGTCTATGGCACCCTCTGTGGCCGCACAGCTCGCACACCCCTAAGGCCGGCCCTGAGGGTATGTGGGGAGCAGGGTATGAGGTGGGCAGGGTATGTGAAGGTCAGTGTGGGGGGGCAGAGTATGTGGGAGGCAGGGTATGTGGAGGTCAGTGTCGGGAGGCAGGGTATGTGGAGGTCAGTGTGGGGGGCAGGGTATGTGGGGGTCAGTGTATGTGGGGGACAGGGTGTATGACAGTGTGGGGGACAGGATGTATGACAATGTGGAGGGCCAGGGTGTATGACAGTGTGGGGGGTAGGGTGTATGACAGTGAGGGGACAGGTTATGTGGGGGGCTGGGCATGTAGGGTACAGTGTGGGGTGACAGCGTATGTGGGGGGGCAGGGTATGTGGGGGCAGGGTATGTAGAGGTCAGTGTGGGGGGCAGGGTATGTGGGGGGCAAGGAGTGTGGAGGCTGTGACAAGCCTCCACACACTGAAATATCTTTTTTATGTAAGTCCCTGGTGGTCCGGTGGTAGCAGTCTCTGGTGGTCTGGTGGGATAACTAACCTGCCTGCAGCTCTGTGCCCTCGTTCTCACATGCTCCGGTTAGAGTGTTGCCGCGGTAACCCGTGGCAACTCTCTGTGAGCTCGCGAGAACCACATCACATAATCACCCCGTAGAGCTGCAGATGTAAGGCTTAGTTCTCTATGGGCAGACGATGTGGAGGGGCCTTGCAAGCTGCCGGGCCCCCTCTCACTGTCAGGCCCTCGGTCACGGACAAAGGACCTGACAGTTCAGTCTGCACTAAGGTGATTTAGGTGTCCGCGAGGTCCCAGCAAGCGTAAGGCCTTAGGCAGCTGCCTAAATCACCTAATAAGAGAACCTTCTCTGTGCTAGGGTTTGTGCAAAATGAGAGAAACAGAGAAAATGAAACAAACAAAAAAAGAGTTACCAGTTACCAGAGGGTGGCTTGACGTGGCAGGTGGGCTTGAACTTTAAAAGACCACTATAGGCACCCAGACCACTTCAGCTCAATGAAGTGATCTGGGTGCCAGGTCCCTCTAGGGTTAACCCTGCCTGCTGTAAACATAGCAGTTTCAGCGAAACTGCTATGTTTACTCTAGGGTTAATCCAGCCTCTAGTGGCTATCTCATTGACAGCCGCTAGAGGCGCTTCCGCACTTCTCACTGTGATTTTCATAGTGAGAAGACACCAGCGTCCATAGGAAAGCATTGAGAATGCTTTCCTATGGAATGACTGAATGCGCGCGCGGCTCTTGCCGCTCATGCGCATTCAGCCGATGACGTCCAAAGGAGGAGGAGAGTCCCCAGCGCTGTCCAAAGGAGGAGGAGAGTCCCCAGTCCCCAGCACTGGAGAAAGGTGAGTTTTTAACCCCTTCATCTCCCTTCAGCACCGCCGAGTGGGGGGCCATGAGGGTGGGGGGACCTATTAATACTATAGTGCAAGGAAAACTAATTTGTTTTCATGGCACTATAGTAGTCCTTTAATGCCAATTGAAGTGATAGTAAAATACATAGAGTTATTTAAATGTGCATAGGGATTTGGGATAGTTTGCAGGTAACTTTTTTTTTTGTTCTATGTATTGGGACTGATATTTACTATAGTGAGAGTTTGAGCACAGGATTTTATTTTGTATGTTTGCATTTGCTTTTGTATTACACAGCCATGTTACAATGCTGCCACCCAGTACATGTGTTCCCTATTAATGATTAATAAGTGTGTAGGGGTTAATAAAAAAAATTCCTTTTCTGGCTCTGGCTTCTTTTGCTTTAAACCTATGTATTGGGGCTGATGAGTAGTATGGTCATTGCTGCCACCCAAGAGTAGTGGGAGTTTGAGTGCAGGGCTTCATTATGAGTCTCTTCCTCATTTTCTCCATCCACCCTGTGTGCCCCATATCCCCCTACCCCTTCCTACTCTCTGTATGTTGCAGGGGGGAGAGTAATGTAATGGGAATACAGAGTCCCCCACGTCTGTTTGTCATAATAATGTAACAAGGCAAGAGGATGCCCAATCTAATAGGGTTTAGAGGATGTCCAATTCTCTTAGCTTCCTTTGGCCCGATTATATTATCAGGGCCATATGACTAGCCATCCTTGTCCTTGTTAGAATATAAGAGGAGGACATTTGAGGATCCCTTACCTCTTATAAAACTACCCTACAACCCAAAGAACAAGGGGCCAATTGGTTATGTCTAACTTCCACCCCTCCCATGCAGGTAGAGAAAGACAAGAAGAATTATACAGGGTGTCAACTGGTTAATAGTTGGGCTCAATTATAGGTTTTTTTTTTTTTTTTAAAGTAAATTTGTTTAAAGAAAAATTCTGTATTTTACAAGAGCCAATTTATTTTCTCATTTTATACCGATCTTTCCCCTTTTGGTATTCTCCAATTGATGATGATGTAGATAATTGTACTAGTGCTGCACACCTATTTATTAAAAATATATTTATTTATTGCGGTATGAGAGACAGATAATTGCTTCTCTCAAAGTGAGTAGCAACCTTTTTTTTTTTTACAGGTTGCGTTTTTACAGATTACAGACCTAATTTAACACGTCTGATTTTGCTTTCAGCAATCCGAAGATACCAGTGAATTGAACTGCTTTTTGCTGCAGTGCTAAAATGGTTATTTCCTAGCAAGTGGCCTCTTGTTTATGCTGTGGTCTCACTGACACCAATATATATTCTTTTACTGTTTAGACATGTATATTGCTGCAAATAGTGAAAATTGTTGCTGTTTGCAGCTTTAATTGAACATTTAAACACCAATTTTTGTTCCGGTGTAATGCAAAATATGCTCTTACGTCGGGAGAATAGATACACTAACTAAGCCAAGTAAAACACACAAGTCAGCTTACATTCTATGATAGTAAGTATCACATATCTTTTTACTGACTTCCAAGAACTCATTTTAGCAAGAAATGAAAAATTAAAGTTAATATTGTCTTTCAATAAAGGCAGCCAACGATTGATAAATCTTAAATGTTATTATTTTATTAAATTGATATAAAGACATTTAAAATGTGCTGGCCTAGCAGGCCCCGTAGAAGAAGAAATAAAACAAGCACAACCTAACATATAAACATTCTTATCATTGGCTCAGCAATTAATGCACAGTAGGCTGGGTACATAACTCATCAAAATACATTATCCTTATACCCAAGTCACAATCAATCTCTAGCAATATTCTTATATATTCTTATATGTGACCATGTTGCCTCTTAAGACTGGAAAATGCCTCTAGTTTATCATTTCTCACTCTTCCATTGCGAAACCTTGTGCTCTGCTTTAGCCCGCTGGAACCATTCAAACCAGGAGCCATCATAGATGGCAGTATCTTCCTTGCCTAAAATGAAAGATGCCATAGCAAGTTGACAGGCGGTAACACCACGGCGACATGTAATAGTCAAAGGTTTGCTGAGGTCAATTCCTTTGGCCTTGAAAAGTTGCTGGATTTCATCAGGGGACTTTTCAAAACCTTCTTCTGTTAAAAACTCAGTGAAAGGGAGGTTCAAGGAGCCAAGGATGTGGCCCGGATAAATACCTAAAGTAAAAGCAAAATATTACTCAAAAAAAAATCACACTAAGGATGTATTTTCAATTCCGAGTTACAAGCGGATCAATTTTAAACAGAATCAAACTTTCATGTATTTTTTTTAGCCATTTCCTCTGCTCACGTATACAGGTAATATGTACAGTACATAATTTAGTACATCTGGCGTCCTGATGGTTTATTGCAGAACATACTCTTACGTCCTCCAAGGAAGTGTTTATACAGGCACTTCTTACAGATATTTCTGCATTAGACCACTTCATACCACCTTGGTTATATAAAAACAGCTTTGGATACAATATAGCTTCTGTTATTCCTTTATAGCAGCAGTGAATTGTGCAAGCTGTAATACTGTTACAAACAGACTTTGTCTGTACCCTACGAACTCTTTATCTAGAGACTTTATTTGGACAATACCCACAAATACTCCTTATGCTCATAAATACTAGCTCTGTATTTCTATGAGAGGATTATTATTATAATTTTTTGTGTTCCTTTTTTCATTCTACCAACCCACCGTTTAGTCTATCTGCTAACTCTTGCTGATTTTAATTTTTGTTTCCATTTTTTACTTATTGCATCTGTTTGTATCCACTTGTGCATATACGTAGGGGGACCAAATGTTTCTGTATGTACAGATCTAGCCAAAGTTGTTTCATGCTAGATTCGTATGTAGGTTTTTGCACAATTGACTTATTACCAATTTTATGTCTACCATAAGTGGAGACGCTTTGGGATATTAAAGTGATATAGATATTGTATTAAGCTATCGCTAAGGTGACCTCCTAGTACGTGTAGTATATTTTATCCTTATCTGTATACATTAACTCTCCATGTGCTACAGTAAAGCGCTCTCTCCACTGTGCCTGCTAACAATTCGGGGAGCCAGAGTAAGCAAGCCGCCAGGACTTCAGTGGGACCTGGCCGTATTTTTCTGGAACTCCAGTTCGGCCGCGGTTCACACCATCAACCGGTCAAATTCACTTATTGATTTCTTGACTTGCTCCTGGCAACGGCGTGTAGACATGCCGAAACGCACATCAAGCTTCTTCTTATTTAGTTTTTCACTTTGTTGCACAATATGCTTTTTTTTTGTTTGTTTAGTGTTTTTAGTTTTTTAAGTTTTCTTTTTGGCAGTCAGGGACAGCGGTTATCAGGTAGGTACCAGTGGCATCTCCCATGGTACCGAGGTATTTTTAGGGTTGAGCGTTTTCTTGGTTTTCCACCCTGAATTGGAGTTTACCTTATTTTAGGGGATTACATACAGTATTTCCTAGGGTACCTACCTCTAGCTTATGGGAGTTTTTGAGTTAGTTATAGGAGCTTCATTCTTTAGGTGTTTATGTGAGGTATATCGCTGCTGTGAGTTAGATTTCAGCTGACAGCATCAGCTGATAGTATTCTCTTTACCTTTCTTTGCTCCTATCCAACCATCCCTCTACATGCTTCCTGTCTCCTGTTACTGTACAGACCTCCCCCTTTTTTCTGTTTTTTATCAGAAGTTAGAGGTCTATCTCTGTTTTCTCAGAGTTCCAATTTAGGGACCTCCTGTTCAGAGGGTTCCCAGCCTCTTTTCTACTGTTTATTATGTTTTAGGGTTATCCCCTTCTCTGAGACTCTGTTATAGGCTGCCTGAGAACCCTATTCTGGACTCCAATGTCTGGTGTCTAGTTCTGGGGTTTTTAGTCCTTTTCTCTTCTGTTTCATTTATTGATTTCACCTACTTCCCCAAGAGTTAGGAAAACTCTAATTGGAGGGAAGGTACAGAAGATACTACTGAACGCTCCCTGAGAGCCAGGGGGAGCATCTATGTTTTACTCTGCAGGACCTTCCGTGAATTGACCGGCATCTGATATAAATACGCTGGAACTAATTTAGGCCAAGAATTCTTTGACGACCAGTTAAACATTTGCCCCGATGGCATTTTGATAGTTTCTTATGGATCCGAGTGTTAGTTTACCAGAATGGGCGCTCGGGCCAGACCTTTCTGGGGATGTATCATATGTGGGGGGGTCGGGGTTGTTTCACTGATGTTTTTGGGGTTATTGTATGTTGGGCTCTACTGTGTCTGGGAGATAAATGGTTTGAGCGATGGATAACTCAATCTTTTCCCAGTCACATAGGCACCAGGGAGGGACTACCTATACTGTAAATGGAGACCCCCTGCTAGGGATCAGTTTATAAGGGTATAGGTTGCACTGTTACCAATAAAGATTATCATTGTCCCATCAGCAAGTGTTGTCTGATGTATGGGGGAATAAGGGCTATAATCACACTTCAGAGATTTCTTCCAACTCAATTTTGCAGTTCCGCCACAGTACTCATCCAAAAGACTTACTCAACTTAAATTGCTATTTTGTTCTCCAGCTATTCTACTACATTCTGTTAATATCATCTCATTGTGAGAACATTCTTGATAAATAATTTGAAATAAAGCCAGCCAGTCCACAAGACTGTGCTGAATACAGATTGCAAGTGTTCTGTAGAGTAGTTCAACAAACTACAATTATACCTGGGGTTCTGGCGACCTTTGGTATATATATATACCAGCTCACCTTCTGAAATATATTTAACAATTTTTTTTATTGTTTCTAACGTTTGCATTGCCAGGGAGTGGAAAAGCCTTTTCTCTCTGCTTTTATACATTTAATATGTTTACTTGTACCAAATAAATCATACCCTTGCACATACAGTCAAGGCCTGCAGGGCATATTTTAGGGGATACCCTAAAAATTGAGACTATGCACTAAAATGGAAATTATGAAAACTTTAGGAAATACTTTCAAGCTTCACCCAACTGAATCTCTTAATAGATATTTTAGCAGAAAGTTTGCAACAGCCTACTGAATCTCTTAATATTTTAAGGAACACGCCAACATTACTACAGCTCGCATGTGGTTATGGCGCCAGGACTGCCCTGGTACCAGCCCATTGTAAGAAGATAGTTAGTTTTTAAAACACTACCTTTGCCTACACTATCATCTTCTGCCAATGAGCTAAGATGACGCTGTCAGCCAATGAGCTACGCTCTGCATTTCAAGAGAGCTAATGTAACCTTCTGCAGAGGAATTTTCAGCTCTGTGGAAAAGATAGTGTAGCTGGGGAGTGGCTCCCTTCGGACCCTAGGTAAGAAGTCAATCCATTAAAAAATTGTTTGACTACTTACAAGGGGGGTTGGGGCCAGGGTAGTATTGGCACCATAACCACTACATTGACCCGTAGTGGTTATGTTAGTTGGAGTGTTCCTTAATCTCTATATGCCATAATAGTTTATTGCAGCCTTGAGGACTGGATTGTAAAATTAACTGCAAGTGAGTTTTAACACAGATTTATATTTTCTGTATTAAGCATGCGGAATGTTCAAAAATGTATTGTTCTGCTAGTAGTTAAACTTTCTCACCTCATGCTTTGGCACCAAACTGGAATGCCCTTATCATAAAAGTTTAGATTCACAAAACTATCTTGCTGAAAGATGTACACAATGCTTCCGAAAACTTCTGGATTTTTACAAATAGAAATATTAAACTGTTCAGCAAACTGTCTCCTTGTTTCTTCTCTTTGTATTTGTAACTAAACAATTAGGTTTTTCTCTGTAACTGGGCCTATTCAGTACAGTTACAAATCTGTATACGTGAGGTAATTTGGAAGTAGAAACCAGAATCGTCAAACAGAAATAACTGATTGAGTTAATGCTGCAACAAGTGCACACGTCTTTAACATGTATTCAGTGGCATACTAACAGGGGGTGGAGGGGGCGGTCCGCCCCGGGTGCCACTCACTAGAGGCTATGGCAACTTGCAGCAACGCTCTCGTGGATCTCAAGAACAGAGGACATGCTGCTGTTGGATATGTCCCCCCCCCCCCCTATTAATATTTAGGGCCCCCACCCACCGCCCAGGGGTGGGGGCCAGGGGGAGGGCATTAGGTCTCCCCTTATTCTAATTTAGGGCCCCCACTCACCGCTTAGGGGTGGGGGCCAGGGGAAGGACATTAGGTCCCTCCCCTTATTCTAATTTAGGGCCCCCACCCACTGCTCAGGGGTGGGGGCCACGGGGAGGACAATAGGTCACTCCCCTTATTCTGGACCTATTGCCTGGGGGCCAGGCAATAGGTCCACCCTTCAAGTTAGAAGCCCCCACTCGTGCGGCACGGGTGGGGGCTCGGGAGGGGGGACTTTTTGTTTTTTAAAGGCTGCTCACTGTTTAATAGACATGCCCCTACTCGCAGTATAGCGCGTAGGGGCATAATTTACTAATACTAAGTAATCTTTACTTAGTATTAATAAATTTGGCTGAAAGACCAATTTAGGTCTTTCAGCCTTTTAGTAGATAGCTCCCTGATACCGTGCTAATTAGGGAGTTATCTACTTATTCACTCCTGTCATTACATTGATTGGCTAAGTAACTTACATTTTATATGAATGTATGTTACTTGATTGTTCTAAGTGTTGCAAATGCTTACAGCTGAATCCTGGCTATGTTTGTATACTTTTTATTTAAAATTGTATACAGTGCAACATTCTTCATTCTTCCACTGGGTAAGTATATTAGTTCTTAGGCAATACTGTGCTTTGGAACTTCGGAACTTCAGCAACTTCGGCACTTCGGAAGTTCGGTAATTTCGGAACTTTGACAATTCGGCAATCCATCTATTCGGACATTCGGATTGCACATGTCTACTGCTCACTATACACTCATTACACAATAGTGTATACACACTATACAAACACAGCAACACACACACTGCATACACACTATACACAAACTGCATACACAGGCTGCATACACACTATACGCGCACAGCATAATACTATACCCACACTGGAAAAACACTATACACACACAGCATACACACTATACACACACACACTGCATAGACTATAAACAAACAGACTGCATACACTACACACACACACCGGATACACTATATACACACACTGCATACAGTACACAAACAAACACTGCATACAATAAACACACACTTATACCTGTGTGTCTGTATGTGTATGTGTCTTTGTGCCTATGTGTCTCTGTACATGTGTCAGTGTGTATCTGTAAATGTGTGTGTTTGTATCTGTGTGTCTATATCTGTTTGTGTGTCAGTGTGTGTCTGTATCTGTGCATGACTGTGTTTCTATGTAACTGCATATGTATACCTATGTATCTGTGTACATGTATGTGCCAGTGTGTGCATTTGTGTATATGTATCTGCATGTGTGCCAGTGTGTGTGTATATTTGAGTATATGTGTACCTGTGCACATCTCAGCATTTCACCAACACTACACACCACATATTAAAAAAACACACTACACAAAAAATGCAGGCCTGCATTCAAACGCCAACACTACATGCAAACACACCCCTACATTCACGCACACATACTACAAAAACATGCTTGCATTCAAACACAAAAACACTGCTCAGTGCTAAATACATTAAAAAAGATGCAAACACTGCTCAATGCAAATTACATTAAAAAAAAACAATGTGTGGGTGTTTTTTACATTTTATGTGGTTTATAAGATCTGTCCCTGGTGCCAGATGCTCCAGGTACGCCCCTGCATGTATTATTACTTATCACGGGTGCACATGGGTTTTGAACATTTTATCTGTGAGGACTATTGACTGAGAAAGCTGCTCCTTATCTGTTTTCTTCTTCTGTGCCATTTCCCTGCATTTTGTTTCTCTCATGTTACTGTGCAAGAAAAACACCACAGTACAGGGAAAAGTATAGACTAGTACTCAAGGTAAAACAGGATTAATTATTACTGTGTTTTTCGTACCATTCCTTATGGTGCTTTTAATTGTATCAAAGATTAAAGCTACAAAATCAAAATCCCAACAAAAACTAAAGTAAAAAATATCCCTTTGCCATTTCTCTCCAATTCATGGTTTAAGTATAATGTTCCATTTTTGCAAAGACTAAAGGAGCAATTTTAAGTGGTTATGGTTCCTACACATTTCTGTGCAAACTGTTTTCAACTAGTTTAAAACAAATGGAGGATCTACTCTAATATCAATAATACAGACATCATACTTCCATATTAGCAACATTTGGCCAGTAAATAGTGTAAAAAAGCTGGACAGAATTGAAATTTCTAATATACTGTGCAAAGGGTCAGGCCACAGTGTCTGGGCGTCCCTCAGTTTGATGTCAGGGACATGCCGGTACTACAGTGCGCAGTAGTTGTTATGGTGCATAAAGTGCCTCTTTAATTAGATTAAGATTCCTAGAAGCACCAACTCTCCTTGTTTTTCACAGTCTTTCCTTTCGCACAGTTTGCTGCCCTGTTATTTACCGAATTATTAGAGTGCTTTAATTTGTGTACATCAGGTTTACTAATTTTAAATATCCTTTTTTGCATTACGTTTGCAGGTTTGCTATTGTTCATTGGTTCTTTAAATAACATTTTAAATTAACCTCTTAAGGATACAGCTTCGGAAGTAAAATGCCAATGTGACAGAATATTTTCATTGTGTGTCCTTAAGGGGTTAAAAAAAAAAAAGTATAGTTCCTTATTTATACCGTTCACCCACCTTCTCCTGGTTCTGGCTCTGTGCCAGTGTACCTTCCATGTGAGCGTGAATCCACCAGCTGGAACTCTTTGCTGCTTATGTTTCTCTCTATATCTTCAAACTTTTTCACCCGCGAGGGATTAAGAACTGCACGATAAGTCTCCGGCTTCACCTCGGTCTTCTCTGACGTTACGGGCAAACCCTTCTTCAGCCAATTCCTGAACCCACCATCCAGTACAGACACTTTATCGTGTCCAAACACCTTAAACATCCACCAGGCTCTTGGGGCGTAGTACATGCCTAGGTGATCGGCGTCATATATTACGACATGACTATCATTATTAATGCCAAGGTTGCCCACATATTTGGCAAAGCTAGATTCACTTGGCAACATAACTTCATAAGGAGACCCCTGGTCTTTGCATTCATCAATATCAAAGTACAATGCTCCCGGAATGTGCTGTTCTTCATACTCTTTACGTCCATTTCTAATGGCTGGATAGTAAAATGATGCATCAAGTACCCTCAAGGCTGGCCCTGTCTGGGTTTTCAAGGCTTCCGATAGCCAGTTGATTGAAACTAAAGCTCTAGAGAGAAGCTGTGACATTTTCCAAAGGGAGAGCAACCGTGCTGTGTTAGCATGAACAGCACAGTACAGTCAATAAAAGAAGGCAGGGCAAGCCACTGGCACTTAAATACATACTGGAGTTCTGCTTAGGGGCAGGACTAACTCATTTGAGATTTTGGTTTTAACTCTTCAGCATGCTGGAAGAAACTGCAAACGTCTATGCTAGCAGTGCTTTGTGATTTGAATGTTTTAAAGGGACCCTCCAAGCTGAAACGAATACTTTTTTTTCACTGCATTGTACATACAGAGCATTAGAAATTATGCAAAAACAATGAGATGAATAAATAAAGTTCCTGCACTTTGTGTAAATCCCCAAACTTTGCAGCACTTGAAGTGAGCTCTCATTAAATCAGGAATTGACTCATACTTATAATGACTGTGCTTAACCCATATTATGGAACTATGAAGATACATATATTGCGTAAACTGCATCTTAAAGAAGTCATTTAATTGCATTTGTTTTGGCTCTGTCCATTTGCACAGATTTTGCTTTGAAACTTTGAAAGGGAAATCAGTACCACTTCAGACAAGACGTATCCCTTTGTTTTGCAAGTCTGTTTCCAGGCGCATGCATAGTGGACAGTTTGATGTCTAATGTGATGTGTGATGGACACGTTATGCATACATCCCAAGTGTCCCTTTTTAGGAGGGCCAGTCCCTATTTTGGGCCCAAATCCTTCTGTCACTCTTCTATGTGCTAATTTCCCTCTTTTCTAGAAGATCTATATTGTTGGTTATGTCTGAGTGAATAACAGAGCTCCACAGCAATAATACGCACAGTAATGTGTCTTTAAACTACGATAAATGTGTTTAGAAATCAGTCTGTGCAAATAAGACACATTGTTCTAAATAACATTTTAATTGCAGTTCGTTTGACAGGTTTACTACTGAAGCAAAATCAGAGGCTGAAATACAACATTCACAACATCTTGTATAATTATAACTTCCTCTCTCTGATCACCACCTCTTATCGTTTGCGCTCATGTACCCCTTCACCCAACAACCTCAGCCTAACCCCCCTCAACTCAGGAGGGACCTTGATTCTTTTGATCACCAGCAGCTGTCAGCTGATATTGATTCATGCCTACTGTCCATCCCTTCCCTCTCCTGTCCTTCACTGGCACTGCGCATTTAACAGTACCCTCACCTCTGCCTTGAACACTGCAGCACCGCTCCAAACAAGCACCTCAAGGAGAACCCGCCCCCAACCGTGGCATACTAAATCAACACGCTACCTGCAAAGATGCTCCCGTTGTGCTGAATGCTCCTGGAGGAAGTCTCGCACCCAGTCAGACTTTCTCCATTATAGATTCATATTGTGTTCATACAGCGCAGCCCTTGCCCTTGCCAAACAGTCCTACTTTTCCTCTCTCTGTTCATGCTCGCACAATCCCAGGCATCTCTTTGACACCTTTAATTCTCTTCTTCACCCTGCTGTAGCCACCCCCAAACTAACCTTACTGCTGGTAGCTTTGCATGTTACTTTACAGACAAGATTGAACAACTAAGGAAAGAATTCTCCCCTCCTTGCCGTTCTCTTTCTCAACCACACATAGATCATCCCTTCCTTACACTTCAGACATTCTCCCAGGCTACTGACCAAGAGGTGGCTACTCTTCTCTTCTCCTCTCGCCCCACCACTTGCCCATTTGATCCTGTGCCATCTCACCTTATTATATCTGTCTCCACTTGTCTCGTGCCTTCCTTAACACACATCTTCAACTGCTCTCTCTCTTCTGGCATTGTCCCTGTTGACCTTAAACATGCCACTGTAGTACCTATCCTGAAAAAAACCATCCCTCGACCCATCCACCCAACTATCGTCCCATATCCCTGCTCCCTTTTTCCTCAAAGCTTCTGTAAAGACTTGTCTTTACCCATGTGTCTCATATCCTGAATACCAACTCTCCCCTTTACCTTCTTCAATCTGGCTTCCGCCCTCTCCACTCTGCTGAGACTGCACTTATCAAAGTTACTAATGACCTAATTGCAGCTAAATCCAAAGGCCACTACTCCATACTAATTCTTCTTGACCTCTCTGCGGCCTTTGACACGGTTGATCATGCTTTCCTTCTTCAAACTCTTCAATCGCTCGGTCTCTGTGACTCTATCCTCTCGTGGTTTTCCTCTTATCTTTCCCAATGCTCATTCAGTGTCTCCTTTTCTAATGATACCTCCTCCACTCGTCCTGTCTCGGTTGGAGTCCCCCAAGGCTCTGTACTTGGTCCCCTTCTATTTTATCTTTATACTGCCTCTCTTGGCAAACGTATTACCTCTTTTGGATTCCACTACCACCTGTACGCTGATGACACCCAGATAAATATCTCCTCCCCGGACCTCTCCCCTGCCGTCCTGCAACGTGTCACTGCTTGCCTTTCTTCCAACTCCGACTGGATGTCCTCCCGCTTTCTGAAACTCAGTCTCTCTAAAACTGAGCTCCTCGTCTTTCCTCTTCCTAATACTGATCCTCCTCTTTCGCTCTCCCTTCAAGTTTGTGGTACCCTCATCAGTCCCTCCTTGCAAGCATGCTGTCTTGGAGTCATACTTGATTCTGGCCCCACCTTTGAGCCTCACATCCAGTATGTTGCCAAATCCTATAGATTCCATCTAAAAAACATAGCCCGCATCTGCCCCTTTCTTACGCAAGATGCTACCAAGGAGCTTGTCCATGCTCTGGTAATTTCCCATATGGATTATTGTAACCCTCTCCTGATTGGTCTTCCCAAAAGCCATACTGCACCACTACAGTCCATAATGAACACTGCTGCCAGACTGATTTTCCTCTCTAGTCGGTTCTCTCACACCTCTGTTACATTGGCTTCCTGTATGCTATAGGAGTCAATTCAAGGTACTAACTCACACATATAAAGCACTGAAAAACTCTAGCCCCCCTTATATCTCTTCACAGATCCATAGGTATGTCCCTTCTCGGTCTCTCCGCTCTGCCTGTGACCACCTCCTGTCCGTTGTCCGCACCTGTACGGCCAACTCACGCCTGCAGGACTTCTCACGGGCGGCTCCTTTCATATTAAATAGTCTGCCTACCGCCATCAAACTCTCCCCTAGTCTTGCATCTTTTAAGAAGTGCCTTTAAACCCATCTCTTTAGGAAAGCTTATGGCCTCCCAGACTAACCTCTACCTCACATACCTGTCTCTTGCTCTCTCCTAAAGGGCAGCCCACCTTATTTGAATGCAAATTACTGTCCTACTGTGTTTACACCACACCTCCTATAGAATGTAAGCTCCTTTGAGCAGGGTCCTCTCCAACCTCTCGTTACTGTAAGATTTTTTTTTTTGTAATTGTCCTATTTATAGTTAAATCCCCCTCTCATAATATTGTAAAGCGCTACGGAATCTGTTGGCGCTATATAAATGGCAACAATAATAGCAATAATGATGAAAAAAATTAAAACAGTGTAGTTAGGAGGGATGGGAAGAGAGAATGTGCGTATAAGGAAATTTGTTAATTTTGAAATAAATATTAATGAGTAATAAAACAACCAAAAAAAACAGGCAATAAGTAACTGTAACTTAATCTACACATTCACCTAGCTTGTGTTGGAGCCTTGAGTACCTAATGAAGTATGAACAGTCTATGTTAGTTAATTTATCATACATTAACTACACTCAAGAATCTTGCTATAGTAAAGTTCATAGCCCTCTGAGCACAAAAAAAAAACGGGTACAAAGATGGTACAGATTCCACATGGTGCACCCGATATACCCAAGATACACACTCACTAACAGACACACACTAACACACACACTAACAGACACCCACTCACTAACATACAGACACACACACTAACAGACACACACATTAACACACTCACATTTTTTTTAATTAAATCCCCCCAGCCTCCTTACCTTTCGGAATGCTGGTGTGGATTATCACTTTATAGTTTCTTCGTTCCCCCCTCCCTGCTTGATACATGGCAGGCAGGGGGCTCTCATTCCCTGGTAATCCAGTGGATGGGCTGTGTAGGAGGGGGGCTGGCAGAGAGCTGTAACTTACCTTTCCTGCAGCTCCTGTCAGCTCTCTTCTCTCTCCTCCGGTCCGGTCAGCTCCCCTGTCTCGCGGTGTGGTCTCAATCCCTAGGCGCAGGGCCAGATTAAGAGCCCAGTGGGCCTGGTGCTGACAATTATGACGGGCCTAATTACAGAATCATATCGACCAAAAACAGTAAAACACTCCCAAGCATCATGTATCTGATGGAGATAGTGCTGGAGAGAAAGAAAACAGCAGCTATAAGAAAACACATACCCTAGGCTAATCTCTCACTAATTTATGTTTTCATCTTTCAAGTAAATCCATAACCCCTAACAGCAGTGTCCAGTCAAGCAGGAAGTCAATGGGCACGGTAAAAGGGTGTGCCACTGACACAAATCACGTAACCTGCCAAAAGGGGCGAACATGCCCAAAAAGAGGATATGTCTGCCCAAAGAATTAGAAGGCCAGCCTGGTATGAATGCATGTCAGGCTGCCTGCCAATCATGCAACTGGCCAACTAAGGGCATACTATGCAGACAGCACCCTGAGCTTGGCATAAATGCATCTAATGATGCGCTCGCTCAATGCTTTCTAAGGACTGTCCCCTAGCACTCGCTGGTCCACTTGTCCCCTTACCTTCTTACTAACAGGCAGAAGCTCCTGGTATATAGTTTGGGACAGAGAAAAGCTGTATGTAGTGAGTGTAGAAGAAAGGGAACATGCCACAGGGTTAGAGAGAACAAAGTCAGCATTACCTTAAAGGACCACTCTAGGCACCCAGACCACTTCAGCTTAATGAAGTGGTCTGGGTGCCAGGTCCCTCTAGGATTAACCCTATTTTTTATAAACATAGCAGTTTCAGAGAAACTGCTATGTTTATAAATGGTTTAATCCAGCATCTAAAGCCTCTAGTGGCTGTCTCATTGACAGCCGCTAGAGGCGTTTGCGTGCTTCTCACTGTGAAAATCACAGTGAGAAGACGCCAGCGTCCATAGGAAAACATTATAAATGCTTTCCTATGAGACAGGCTGAATGTGTGCGCAGCTCCTGCCGAAGAGGATGATGGGAGGCGGAGAGGAGGAGGAGAGCTCCCTGCCCGGTGCTGGAAAAAAGGTAAGTTTAACCCCTTTCCTCTCCCCAGAGCCCGGCGGGAGGGGGTCCCTGAGGGTGGGGCACCCTCAGGGCACTAAAGTGCCAGGAAAGCAATTATGTCAGGAACACAAACATGAATTCATGACCCTATAGTGTTAACACAACCATCTAGCCCCCCCTGGGCCCCTCATGCCTCCATAAATATAGCAAAATTTTACTGTATTCAAGCCTGAAGCTGTAACTCTGCATGCTGTTAGACTCAGAAAAACAAGCAGTCTGCTGACATCATTAGAGGTGGTGGCCTAATCCAATCACAGTGCTTCCCCATAGGATTGGCTGAGACTGACAAGGAGGTAGATCGGGGCAGAGCCAGCATGATTCAAACACAGCCCTGGCCAATCAGCATCTCCTCATAGAGATGAATTGAATCAATGAATCTCTATGAGGAAAGTTCAGTGTCTGCATGCAGAGGGAGGAGACACTGAATGTTTGGATGCATTTTAGGCAGCCATGACCCAGGAAGGATCTCTAACAGCCATCTAAGGAGTGGCCAGTGAAGTTATCACTAGGCTGTAATGTAAAGGCTGCATTTTCTCAGAAAAGACAGTGTTTACAGCAAAAAGCCTGACGGTAATGATTCTACTCACCAGAACAAATTCAATAAGCTGTAGTTGTTCTGGTGACTCTAGTGTCCCTTTAACTATATTCATTGCCAGCCAGTCCACACAAGTTTTGTTCCCATACATCCCTCTTAAGTTTCCATACTTAAGTAAGAGTATGTGAAAAGTAGTTAGGGTTGCCACCTTGTTTGGAAAAACATACTGGCCTTGCTAATTTGCATAATTAAATATGTATGGATGACATCACATGATGTAAATCACAAGGAGTGACATAAGAGAAAATATAGATGCATTCCTCTCAGTGGGCCCATGTCTCCCAGTGCCCCCATTTGTTGATTACTCCAGGTGTCAGTGTTCCTATGCATCAGTGTCTCAGTGCCCCATGTCTCCCAGTGTCCCCTAGTGTCGTGTCCCCAGGTCTCCCAGTGATCCTATGTATCACAGTGTCTCAATGCCCCATGTCTCCCTGTGTCCCCATGTATCCCAGGGTCCCCGTGTCACTA